GACCCTAGTATCCTGGAGGAGCTCTGTGGCCACTTTTCTCTGAAATCACAGTGGGAACTGCTGCCAACAAACTGGGATCCCAAATGCAGTAAGGATAATTAGATCTCTGGGCGGCAGGGGCTGAATGGCTGCACTTCACCATCAGAGGCACGATGGGCGTAGGTACCATAAAGGACAGCAGAGCCAAAGCAGCAATCAGAAGAGTCTGACTTCCACAGACCAGTGATGCCGCCTAGTTGGGTATGTGTCCCTAAAAGACAATTAGTATGAGAATCTTCAAAATTGTTATTTGGTCAGTATAAGCAGTATAAGTTGAAGAATAACTTGAATCACCAAAACAGTCATAGCCCCTCAATCAGTTCCCAGGCATGAGCCAGTTTATAGCTGCAGAACCCCTCAAATGAAGGGAAGGCCGAGTCCCCTTGAGGAAGGACTCTGGGACACTGCTAAAACCTGAAAGGGACATACAGCCTTTAACCAGGTGACTGCATTGGGGAAAAGGAAATAATTAGACCTTTTGGGGATTAATGGACACTGGCTCTGAACTGACACTAATTCCAGGAAACCCAAGATATCACTGTGGTCCACCAGTCAGAGCAGAGGCTTAAGGAGATCAGGTGACCAATGGAGTTTTAGCTCAGGTGTGTCTCACAGTGGGTCCAGTGGGTCCCCAAACCCATCTTGTGGTTATTTTCCAGTTCCAGAATGAATAATTGGAATAGATGTACTCAGCAACTGCCAGAATTCCTGCATTGGTTCCTGGTGGAGTGAGGCCTATCATAGGAAAGGCCAAGTGGAAGCCACTAGAACTACCTTCCTAAGGAAAAAAGGAAACCAAAAGCAATACCACATTCCTAAAGGGACTGCAGAGATTGGTGCTGCCATCAAGGACTTGAAGCACGAAAGGGTGGTGATTCCTACCATAATATACCCATAAAACTCACCTTTTGGGCTGGTGTAAAAGACAGATGGGTCTTGGAGAATGACAGTGGATTATCGTAAACTTATCCAGATGGTGACTGCAGTTGCAGATGCTGTTTTATATGTGGTTAATTCCTTGAGCAAATTAACACATCCCCTGATACCTGGTTTGCAGATGGATGAACTACCAAAATACATTTCCAACTCAATTTCCTTTTTCTTTGATTACTCTAGCTATTATTTGAGCAGTTCAAAATATTTAGCTCTCACCAGGCATCCTCATTGAGAGTGACATCATCTTTACACCCTGCGTGGCAATCCCTGACGCACCGCCAAGATGCCCAGGGAAGACAGGGTGACTTGGATGTCCAACTACTTCCGTAAGATCATCCAACTTCTGGATTATTATCCAAAATGCTTCACTGTGGGAGCAGACAAGGTGGGCTCCAAGCAAATGCAGCAGGTCTGCACGTCCCTCCCTGGGAAGACGGTGGTGTTGATGGGCAAGAACACCAGGATGGGCAAGGCCATCTGAGGGCATCTGGAAAACCACCTAGCTCTGGAGAAACTGTTGTCTCATATCCAGGGAATGTGACTTCGTGTTCTCCAGGGAGGACCTCACTGAGATCAGGGAGGTGCTGCTGGCCAGTAAGGTGCCAGCTACTGCTCATGCTGGTGCCATTGCCCCCAGTGAAGTCAGCGTGCCAGCCTGGTCTGGGGCCTAAGAAGACCTTCTTCCAGGCTTTGAGCATCACCACTACTAACATCTCCAGGGACAACCTTGAAATCCTGTCATTTGCAGCTGATTAAGACTGGAGACAAGGTGGGAGCCAGCGAAGCCACACTGCCGAACATGCTGAACATCTCCCCCTTCTCCTTTGGGCTGACCATCCAGCAGGTGTTCAACAATGGTGGCATCTACAACACAAGCACCTTACATCACAGAGGAAACTGCATTCTCACTTCCTGGAGGGTGTCTGCAATGTTGCCAGTGTATGTCTGCAGATTATTCACCCAACTGTTGCATCAGTACCCCTTTCTATCATCAGTGGATACCAGCGGGTCCTGACTTTGTCTGTGGAGACTGATTACACCTTCACTTGCTAAAAGGTTAAGGCCTTCTTGGCTGATCCATCTGTATTTGTGGCTTCTGCCCCTGTGGCCACCGCCACCACTGCTGCTCCTGCTGCAGCTGCAGTCCCAGCCCAGGTTGAAGCAAAATGAGTTTTATAAAATCTTAAGGTTGTTCTCCTTAACTGAACTCCATCAGTGACTTTTAGCAATGAAATCCAAACTCCTGTGAATAACAGCTGTGACTCTTTCTAACTGTCCTCTGCAAGGTCTTCCTGCTCAAATCTCTTGCTCCCCACCTTACACCATTCATACCAAATTATTTGCTCCTTCCCATGCATGCCTCACATGTTCTCTGTATTGTGTACTGATTCTTGCTCTTTCCACTCCCAAGGTGTCCTTTCCTGTTATTTTCACTTACTCAAATCTTACCCATTATTTAAGACCTGCTTTAAATGTTATTGTCTCCATAAAGCTTTTTCCCTTTCTCCCAGATGGGAATAGTTTCTTTTTTTATTCTGACCTCCAGAAATTTTTTTCTGGGATGCTCTTGTTTATTCCTTTGTACCTTATTATATTTATTTGTGTATATGAATTATCTTCTTTATTTTAGAATGCAGGCTTCGTAAGAATAAGAACTCTGTTGATACATAGTAGGGAATCAATTATTTGTTGAAAGAATGTCATAATTAAATATATTAGAGCTAAAGCTTGAGAAGGAAATAAATTTGATATCTATTATACTTCTTATATCAAGTTTAATCATCTCCCAAGAAGCTCACAGATGTGTAAAAAATAATAATCTGGTATGATAGAGATATAGTAATGGGAAAAAACTATATCGTGTCATTGGGTTTTAAAGAGGTTATATTGTCACTTAGAGCTTGCATCATTCATTGATTTGTTCAATATGTAACAGACAATTATGGAATGCCTGCTATATGCCGGGCACTGTGCTGGTCTTAGATAATACACTGGTAAATGACACAGACCTGGCCCTTGTCTTTCTAAAGCTTAAAGTATTGTGAGATGGACAAACAATTAAAAAGTTAATATGCAAATAATTATATAATTACAAATTCTAAAGAAGTAAATTGGTTTTGCTGACAGAGAATAAAAGCAGGAAAACTGCAGAATGATGAGGCCACTTTGAGTGTCATGCTATAACATCTGTCCTGAATCTTCATGACTCTTCTGTAGTCAGTTGTGTTCATGTGACCTACTTCTGGTTCATAAGATTTAAATGGAAGAAACTGGACTAGGCTTTAGGGAAAAGTCATAAGTTTTCTAATAAAAAAGGGGTAGGCTTTGAAGGCATACATTTTTTGCCCTTTGTTCTACCCTTTTATTCCTACATCTTACAGATGCTACGCACAGATGTGGAAGAATGCAATGCATTCCTTGTGACTTTGAAGAACTTAAGATACAGATTAAGTGTTACAAAGCAGAAAAGGAGAAACAACCTGATTCCTTCATCAATTTCACCGTACCTTCAGGCTCCTTACTATTGTACATTATCCCTTGTGTAATTAAATCATGGATATCTATCAGATGTGGCCAAATGCAAACTAATCAAAACAACTTGCGTTCTCCTTATTTTTCTCTATCAACCTATCTACTTTCCCTTTCTGATCGCAACATTTTTTTGTTGGTAATTTTATTGGTATTGCATTATATTTACAAATTAACTTATGGACAACTGATTTCTTTATGATGTTGAGCCTTCTTGAAGCACATGGTATACCTTTTCATTTGTTCTAGTTTTTTGTGCCTTGAGTAGGATTTAAAAGATTTTGTCATATAATTTTGCATGTTTTTGCTATAAATGCTATTTGTTCTTATTTGCCTTATACTGTAATTGATGTGGTGGTGGTCGGGGCGGGGGGAGCGGGGGAAAGAGATGTTTTTCTGAATACCAAAAGAATCTGAAAAGGCTTTTAATGTTATTTTAGTTAGTTATGACAAAATCAGTAAAGGTACAATTAATGGATTAAATATTTCAAGGCCAATTTGTATATTAAAATTCACTTTTCTGTAACAAAAATACAATGTATACATTCTATTTTATATATCAAACAAGTAAACATTACATGCTCAAGGTTAAGATTTTTACAGATTGGTAAAGCAGAAACTCCTGGAAAAGCTTCGTGTAAACACAAATTTAAGTTTACAAAACCTGGAAGGAAAGCATATTTATCTAATCTGGCTTATGCTAACTATTTTTAATGTGTTTAAGATATCCAGTTTATATTTATTCTCCAGGCTTCTTTATCTTTGATTATAAGTGTGAACTCAGTGTTGTATTGTCAAAGCCCTTGCGCAAATACTTCAGAATGTCTTAATTCTAAATGGAACTTAAAGTTTGGGAGATACAAACATAAAACAACAAAAATCACACAAACAGGTAATTGCACACTGTAATGAAAAATGATTGGATGGATATGAGCAAATAATACGAGGTTAAATAAAACATAATGTAACATTTATAATAAATAAGCACCGATAAACTATGGAGCAGTGCGCAACACTCACATGACTTTTTCATATACTGGAAAAAAAGTCCACCAAAGCAAAACACCGCATCTTCAAGGCAATTTTGCCCTTCCGGCTACCTTTCCGGCCAGCCTCCCGTCAGCTCATTCCTCCAGCACAGGGAAATTCTTTGGTTAGAAAGGCACTTTGGTGGAAAACTTTTCGAGATGTACGAACTTAACCTCTACGAGCATCTAACTTACTCCGGTGATATTAAGAGGAAATAGGTGAGAATGCTATTGGTATCGTGCAAAGCGCATAATAAATGTATAGTGACATTAATCCTGCTCAGGGAGATTACAATATACGAAGAAGGGCAACTCCTTAGTTTAATCTTCAAGTTTCTAAAACCTGGCGTTGGACTAACCACAGGAACTTTACACTACACTCAGGGTCACGCATGCTCTCTTGGTGGAGCAGCGCCCGTTCTCTCCCTAGTCGGAAGTCCGGTTTGTTTGTTAATTACGACAGTCGTCAACTAAGACGTCGTGACGGGTTCCTAGCTTTACGACAGCAACAACTATGGCGGCTGCCAGGGGTCGGTTTGAAAGCGAGAAGAGTATCGAAGAGCGTAAAGAGCAGACCCGGATTGCCAGGGCCGAGGTGTTGCGCCAGGTAACTCCGTTTTGGGATTTTTGGAACCATTTAGAATTGTGGCAGTGGAGGTTTCCTGGGAGCTAGGCCTCTGGCTCTACTTCCTCCCCATCCCCTTTCTTCTGTCACCATCTCAGAATCTCACCTTAACCTGGGTCGGAAAGGGGTCTGTCTCCCTTTGTGATACCTGCAAATTTTTGAGTATCTCCCCCCTCTTAGATGCTCTGGTAGGCTCCAGTTGCTCATTTTCTTTTCAGGAAGATATATTTCTTTCCTCTGAGTTTCGTTACCTTTTACATAACGCATTCTTGACATTTCTGTCACCTGGGCTGAGCATTTTCGAGGGACTCCGAAACTAAAATGAGCCTCTCCAGCGTTATTTCACAGCCCCAGCCAGCCCTTACTCCTGCTGTATATGAAATGAAAATTTTTCTTTTCAGGAACACATGTAAGGAGCTTTGGAGTAAATTGTGTTTGACCATTTCATTCTCCTGTTGTACTATTAGTATCGGTTCCTGGCTTATTGTAAACCCTTACCTATCTAAACAAGGGTTGACCCAAGAGAGCCAGGAAATTTAGCCCCTTGAAAAAGATTGAGAAACACTGTATTTCTCATTAAGATTGAGATGCAAAGGGGTAACTTATAAGGAACAGAGGAAGTAAACTATTGAATTATCTGACAAAATGTAGGAAGTATGGTAATGAAGGGAAAAATGAAGCGGACAGCATCATAAAGTGTTAAATGATGGTTTTTGTTTTAAGATGGAAGAGTTTTAAACGAGTTTAAATGAGGATGGGAAGCAGCAGGTAGAGGAGACAGGAAGGAGAAGGCATAATGATTACAGCCAGATTTTAAAGGGGAAGAGAGAATGGGTGATTAATCTTGGACAGGTGAAAGGTCAGTGTTGTTTTTTGATTTCAGCACATGAAACATATAAGTATAATAAGTATTTTTCATTTTTGTCTTTTTGATGGTTTAGGCAGTGTTTGTAGGGAGTAGGATTTGTAAGCTATGAACATTTTGTAGTAGAGATAAGCATAGAGTTTGAGAAGGACCAAACCCAGCTTTTGAGTTTGGAGGAAGAATGGAAAAGCAGGAACAACCTCCCAGGAAGAACTTAATTTTATTTGACTATTGCTGAAGAATAAATAAAGATTAGCAATATGATCATTTGTTTTTAGAAAGGTGATTTTTCCTGAAGCATTTTTGGGAAATGATTAGAGTTATGGACATTGCAGATTGAAGGTATGGAGTATGGAGGTCATTCTCCTAACAATTACAAACGTCTCAGGCAGTAGCACTGGGATGGTGAAGGGAAAAGAGTTTCAAGTCATACTTGAGTTTGGAATCTTAAGGAAAGGGGAGGGTTCCCTTAAGGAAAGATTATAGGTCCCAAGATTCTATCCTTGATTGGTGGCTCTTTTCACTAGAGATTGGTAATGGGCAAGGAGAGGTTTTTTTGTTTGTTTGATTTTTTGTATTTTTGAAAATCTTTCCTACACTTTAGTAGAAGCAAATTACTGGTAAGAAACAGACAGTTGAGTCATGAGAGCATATATAAAAATGGGAGAAGATTTTGTTTTTTTGTGAAACGCAGTTGCATCAATTGTTAATTTTTTTTTTTCATTATTTTAGGCTAAAGCCAATTTTGAAAAGGAAGAAAGGCGTAAAGAACTTAAACGACTTCGGGGTGAGGATACATGGATGTTACCTGATGTGAATGAGCGGATTGAACAATTCTCACAGGTGAATACTAACAGGTCTACTTGATGTAAACATGTCGGACGTTTTTTGCATTTACCTTATGTTGGAGGAGCAACTTCATAGACTATTTTCAAAAGTTACAGAATGAATATCACGTAGGCATTACAGAATAGTTTTATCTGTTTGAAAGAAATAATATATTTTAATATTTTGGATGTTATGACACTGGGTAGATTTTGTTTACTAGAGTTGGCTGGTAGAAAGCTTAGCTTCAAATTTCTGGCCCACTTGTAAAGCTTATGGATCTAAACAAGTATGCATTTCAAGCTTAATGTCATGGTTTTTTTTTGTTTGTTTTTCTTTTTGTCTCAATTCTTGTTTTCTCTTTCCATAATTTTAATTTATGCTATCTTGTTATATTTTAAATGGCCCAGTAAGCTTCTATAAATTCTTTGGGGCCATAGAAGATATATACATATAAATGCATACACACATGTTTGTGTATATATGTGTTTATTTGATTATATCTGTTTGTCAAATGAATCTACAAATAAATTAAAACTTCCCTCATGTTTTCTTATAAGCCATCTCAGCTCTACGATTTATTAGTAGTGCATGTATTATAGAAGCATGTTAAGATTTCTTAGAAGATTTTATTCATTTACTCATATTTTTGTCTTAATTCATAAAACATTTAAAGGTTTTTGGAACATAGATTTTTTTTTTCCTTAAAATATTTCCTTTTAAAGTAAGACAAAAGTAAATTCCTTTCTTACCTCTTAAAAATGATTATTTATAGGAACACTCTGTGAAGAAAAAGAAGAAAAAAGACAAGCATTCAAAAAAAGTGAAGAAAGAGAAGAAAAAAAAGAACAAGAAACAGAAGCAAGAAAAAAATGAGTCAGCTGATAGTTCATCAGTACGTATGTACTAAAACTAACCAAAGCAGTTACTTGAGAAAGTTTTATTTAAAGAAATAATGTATGGGAACTTAAAATATATGAGAACTTAAAAATATTACTAGTTAGGATATGAAAAAGCCTGGGAGACATCTACTTGGAAATGTCTAGGAAATACTGGAAATGTGAATCTTAGGTTACAGAGAAAGGTAAGAAGATGGAGACGAGATTTGGGAATCATTGCTTATTGAAGCCATTAGAATAAATGAATTGGCTAGGGAAACTGAAAAGAAAGAAAAACACCAACACTGAGGAATCAGACAGGAAGTAAAAGATGTAAGTAGAAGTGGTTGGAAAATTAGAATCAGGAAGGAACAGAACTGTAGAAATAAGGGAAAAGGGTTCCATGATACTTAAGAGTCTGTTACCCTTGTTTGTTTTTTCATAGAAATGAACATTTAAGCCTTTAAAATAGAATATGTTTATATATTGATCTTTGGGGCCAAAAGAAAGAGAATGCTGTGTCTGTTCTGTCTAGCTAGTTGTGGGATGAGGGGACTCACAGAGGAAAGGAAAGCCAGCCAAACCCTTCATGCTTGTTTTCAGGAAGAAGGAGGTAGATTGTGCTTAGAGAGCGATAAGCTAGAGATGCTTAGGGATAATTGGTCTCCTGGGTGTGATCTTCAGAGGTTGTACTCTCAGATAAATCACCATATGCCAAAGTCTGTCACTCTTGTGGTTTCAGAAAGTAAATTTTTGGCAGTATACGCTAAGATAACAATTGGCTCATGAAAACCTATCTTATATGTGAATGCAGTATATTAATTCATAATGAGAAATCCAACTGGATAGTTTTGTCGGCCACCAACATGTTTTGTAATGGTAGGAATATTTAAATTATATTAAAAAATTTCTTTTGAAATATAACTCAGGGCACAGGGAGTTAGAAAATCTTAATGTGAAAAGAAGATGGAGGCACTATTTCCACATTTGTGGGTTTGGCTTGTGGACTCTGTTGAGAAACTGATGAAAGTAAGTGATCCTTTCTTCAGAAAGAAATTGATATACAAATGTGTTTATTTCAGAAGGGTTTATAAAACTCCCTTGAGTTTATACAGGCATCACAGGTTAAGAATATTCAACCCATGGGGCTACATCTTCCAGGATAACTAAACATTTATGTCATTTGATTAAGGGCATGCACTTCCCCTTACTAGAGACATATTATTCTCTTCTTTGTCTTCATTCTTTCCTAGAAATATACATGTCTCTTTTTTTTTGTAACGTACAGTCTATACATTTATACATACGTATGACATTGTAAAACATATACCTTAGAGAGAGTAGTGTGATTGAATGCTCAGTGCACATGTTACATTGAAGTGGATTGAAGAAAGAAAGAGAAGCCTATACTGACAGTGAAGGGAGGTCTTTTTGAGAAAATGTTTTTAGGGAAAGAAGGATAAATAATATCAAAGAGAATGACAAGTTTGGGTTAGCAAGGTCCCAGGGGAAGGGGGAAGCTTTGATGAGGAGTAGGAACACCTTCTTTTCTGAGCTAGGAGGGAAGTTGTAGAGATGTGTACAAACACAAAATAAATAAGGAGGAGTCATAGGGAGAGGGGGAGCAGATTATTGGTGGTGTTTCTGCGGTTCTGTATTGCTTTTGTGAAGTAGAAGATAAAGTCATTTGAGAAGATAATTTGGGAGTAGAAGTAGGATGTAAGACTTGGGGAAATAGTGTAAATTTGAATCAACCTTGCTAGGTAATAAAAGAGAAGCAGATGAATTGCTGAGCAGCCCTGAGGATCCATGGAGGTTGGAAAGCATTATCTTGACTCTTTCAAGGTCTTTTTTTTCTTTTAGCTGTTAAAATCATCTTTACTGAGGTATAATTTACATATAATAGCAAGCTCCTATTTTAAGTACACTATTTAATGAATAACCCTGTTTAACCTTGTCTGTTAAGATATTCTCATCTTCCTCCCCAACTCTGGGATTGGGCAGCTATGGGTCTGCTTTGGGACAGTATAGATTAGTTTTCCCTGTTCTAGAATTTCATAGAATAATGTGATCTTTTTTTGTGTTTGCTTCTTTGGCTCGAAATAATGTTTTTGCAACTCATGTAGTTTTATGCTATCAGTGGTTCCTTCCTTTTTATTTCTTCATTTTAGTGTATGAATATACCACAATTTGTTTATCTGTTTACCCGTTGAAAGTCATTTGGGTTGTTGTTAGTTTGGAGCTTTTGTGAGTACAGTTACTGTGAATATTTGTATACAGGTCTTTTTATGCACATGTTTTTATTTCTTTTGGAAAAAATGTCACTGTTTCAAAAAGTGGTTGTACCTTTTTCACTCCTGTCAGCAGTGTATGAGAGTTCTGGTTATGCCACATTCTTTTTTTTTTTTTAAGATTTTTATTGGGGAATTGGGGGATGGGAACAGTGCTGGGGAATTGGGGGAAGGGGAACAGACAAGTAGATAAACTGCTGTTT